AAGAACATCGGAAGACAGGTACGCAAGGATGGCTAATCCAAAGCTATGTCCCCTAAATCGAAAACTTTCAGGGTCAAAAAAGGCAAATTATTCCGCAAGAAGAGGACGTGCCATTAACCACAGAAATAAGAATTTTTCGATTGAAGATTTTCTTTTGATGAAAAATGATTCTGAGGAGCTATGGGATTTTGGTAATTCTGATTGCTGCTTCACAACAAGTCGAATGAGTCGGGTCACCTTAAGGGCCCGCTTGAGTCATGATGTGTAGTCGCAACTACCGGTAGTACAAGTACGCCTACTGGCAGTTTTCTGTAAATCTAGGTTCCTAGGGAGTATGCGACTGTAATGGCAGACCAACATGGTTCGCCTCAGAGGGTCTCTTGGATGAGTTTGGCTGGAGAGGGTTTAAATCAACGATCTACGCTGAGTTTTAGGAGGCGCCAGGCAGCATTGATATGATGGCAAAATGGCCGCCTTAGCCGTATCGATGTGTCAAAGTAGTCACGAAGCAGTAAGGGCACAGCATTGTAGCGTCAGGGATTGTGCACATTCATACTTATGGACTACTGGGGTGGGTAGTCAATGCATATCGTGAGCGCCCGGACGTTATAGGTGGACTACAGAAAATGAAAACGATTTACCGCTTAGAACTAAGCGAGATAATCTGTCATTGTCCTTCATTTTTACTAGAATGGTGAAGGATAGAAGAACGCTGGCTGATATCCAACATTTCTCATTTCATTAAATGGGGGTCACTGATTGAACTCCGATGAGAAAATGCATCATTCCGTTTCACGAAGAGTGAAATCGTTCCTGTCACGTCCGTGGGATCTCCCTACTCACTGTTAACTGGATATATGGGAAGCCTACCTCTCTGACAAAAAGCTTGAATGATGGCTCTAAGGATGTGACGCATCGCGTTTATGTCCAAGAAAGGCTGGCTAGGTGTTTTCTGGACATGTAAAATTCAGCGCTAATTGGAAAAGACGAGGAGCCATCCAAAATAAGATCATTGAATCTAGGCAGCTATGTAAGGTACCTTCGGGAGCTCCTCCACCTTTTTCAAGAATTGAAAAATTGTGATTCAAGGGTTCAAGACTGGATTGCCTCCAGGCGATCGTAAGAGTTGAAGAGGTATTTGAATAGGTGTTTGGTCTATACAGTGGCAACCGCCACGTATGAGACAGACTGAATGAATAATCCCAGACGAGATCGGTACCAGTCAATCTATCCTGGAGGGAAGAAAAGCAGGATTTGCCTGGGCTGGAAGCGATCCAAGGATTTACCACGCTGTGCCATGCCGTTCCCCGCCACTGCAGCATCTCCATCTCCTTCCCTTTAGCGCTTACTAGCGAAAGGAAACTTCACATGAGAGAAAACTTCATGGCTATCCGCAAGTGGTTTTTTCGACGCCTCCATTTCTCAGCGCTGCATTTTCCAGCGAATGGAAGTGCCATGCTTCGAGCAAAACGCACGCGCACAGAAGAGTATGTGGACGAAGGTGGATACGAACATGGTGAAGGTAGGCTTTTTCGGAAGATTACTCGAGTGGAAGCGAGTATGCTAGCAGTTCTAGAGTTAGGCCAACACCATGTTGCCCTAATCAACAACCAATGGGTGGCCACCCAAATACAGAAAAGTCCTAGTACCAATGTGTAGTGTGGAATGAAAAGAAAAGAGATATGATTCGTTCCACTATTCGCTTGCGGGAGGATTTCCAGTAAGTAGGGATAGCGAAGATGGATAGGGAAGATGAGAGTAGGTGAAGGGATTTTGAGTATGGTCCATTGTAGCGGAATAAATAAAATTAACAATGAGCCGGTGGGCAGGATACCGATCCTACCCGCGGATTTTCATATACGCATGCATCGTTTCATCTGCTACAGCGGATCAGGGAGTCCCCCCCCCCCCCCCC